GTATTGTCCAGCTTTTTTCATGCCTAGGTATAGAGAAAATAATATTAATTCACACAGAAAAGATGACATTGTGCAGAATGTTAGGGTAATGGGGAACATTTCTTGGATAACCATATGAAATTTGGTAAAAAAATTAACACATAATTTAAAAATAAAGCCAAATTATAAAGAGGAAATCAAATGTTAAGTTTATTTAGACAAACCACGAGGTTTGAATAGAACTTTCTTCCTTTCTCTCTAAAATGTTAAAAATCAATCAATCAATCTTCACATTTTTAATTGAAACTCTTCAGTTTCTGTCTGGGAACATATCATTTTTATATGAGGTTTTTATTTCTGTAATAGATACATGCTATTCCTAATCAAGACTTTTCAGTGATGACCTCTTCAAAATCTTAGTAGTCACCATCATTAATGAGAAACTGTTCACACAATAAAGTGATAAAAAATTTAAAACTGTTCAAATATTTAAACTGTATGAAATTATATTTAAGTCATTCAACAGCTCTCCCTTACCTTTCACTCATAATTGAAATGTTGAAATTTCATGTGAAAATAAAATGATTTTCACATATAATCAGACCTTTTAGGTAATGAAATATTTTATAATTGTTATGACCCTCTAGTTTGTAGCATGCACATGCCTATTTAGAATAGTCCCTGGGAGTAGCTTGGATAACCTTAAGTGGGAAACTTACTCATGATTAGACAAAAGTACCAGATATATGCAAAGCCAGAGAATCAAGTCCACTGTCTAGCCAGCATGCAAGCTCATCATTATACCCCTGGCCACACTGAATCCTTCCATGGCTTACACCTAGAATGAAGTTTTCATTCCTCCATAGCACCATGAACTGCTTGGTCAGAATAGACAGAGCTCTGGACCTCACATATGGCTGCTTGAGAGCTATAATCCATCCCCAGCCTATCAGTGTGCTGCAGGTCACTATTTACAAAGCTCTGACCTAGAGTACCATACTGCTAAAATAAGAAGCCTAGATTAAAACTTTAAATCTGAAGAAGAAAGAAAAAGAAATAAAATGAAGAAAGGAAGGATGAAGTTGTAATGAATTAAAATTTCCTATTTTATTGAAGATAAGGAGGAACGTTTGATAAATATTGAGTACCTCTCATCAGGTATGTACAATGTACTGGGTGATTAACTTAACCTCATAGATTCTTATAAAAGTTTGTTAGAATGCTGTTATCATCACAATTTTAAATATAAATAATCAATAGAAAAAATTATCTTGCCCAAGTTCACAGAACTAGTAGGGAACTGGGTTTCAGTCCAGATGTATCTGTCTAGAATGTCCATGATCTTACTACTTATTAATTTAATGTAATCTCAATATTACTTGCCTCATCCATAAATAAGGGATAATAAATAGTCTATGTCTCAAAAAGTTCATTATCCTCAAAATAAATGAAATAATTCATCTGATATCAGAGTGTATGATTGAAATTGAGGCCCAGCATCTGTAGTTTTTAAAAGTTATCAAGTGATTCTAATATACAAAACACTGAAATATTGTGAACAAGTGCTTAACTCAGAATTTGGTACATAGAAAAGTACTTAGGAGTTGTTAGCTATTATAACTGTTGTTACCATTGTCTTATGGATGCCATTTCTTGTGATGTACTTGGGGTAAATAATAGATACTTAAGTGTAAAATACAGAGAGTGAAATTTTCCTGCACCTCCTACTTCCACATACCTTTGATTCACACAGCTACATTTGGCTTGCTCAATAGGCTGGAAAATTAAAAAAAAAAAAAAGTTTGGGTGGAGAATGGCAAGAGATGGTGTTCTTTTTTCATGGAGTGTCATAGAGAAAGCATAGTTTTTATGAGTCTTTATTTCAATTTCTTCATGTCTAAAATTGGGCTAAAATAGACAACTTTTGTTTAGGGATGGAGCAGCTAAATAATATAGCATATTTAAAAGATCTGGGAAATCTTCCTGGGCAGAGAATAGTAAGATATTAATGATCAATGGATATTTCACTTTCTCATTTCTTTATTCCAGCTTCACATATGAACAGTATTTCTATATTAGGTTTCCCTTATACTTAGCATTAATCTAGATCCTAAAAATGAAGCATGGCTTCCAGGTTCACTGGAAATGGATATGACATCTGGAAAATCTCAAAAGAGAAAAGGGAAATTAGCCCTGTAACAAAGGCCATTTGTTCCCTTGATATTGATTTTCTTAAATCAGACAGTAGTCAAGACCCTGGGAGAAGTAATTGAACTGACAACAGGCAGGTCCAGGTTATTAATAATTGAAGAGTCTTGGGCATTCTTTATGACTTAATTTAATGACAGAAGAGAGGTCTGCAACTGAAATGCCCAGTGATGGGATTGGTAGGTGGGTCTCTGAGCAGAAAGGAAAACACGTTATTCCTAAGAGCTTATTTCATAGAACAAAGCATTCTATGGTAGTCCCAAATATGAAGACAGAGAAGATAGTTTGGATTTCTCTTTTAAGAAAACAAAATTTTAAAGCTTAAAAAAATGCCGTTGTATTCATTTTCGCCCTTTACAAAACTGGCTTGGTTATAGTTATGGAATTTTGGAACTTTAGTGAATAACTCAAGGGTAGAGATCATGGACATTTTACTTACCATTTTTATTCCCTGGATTTAAATGTCAACTCTCCATATATTAATTACATGACTTTGGAGAAATTAATTAACTTCTCTGAGCTCAGTTTCCACATCTGTAAAATGGAAAGGTTAATATTTTAGTTATAGAAAATATTTAATTTTAGTTATAGAAAAATATCTAAACATTTATAAAAATGTATAAAATTCCTAGCACTTGATATTATATAATACATCACACAATAAATATTTCAATGCAATAATATGTGAATTTTGATGCTTCCTTCTCTTTCCCTACCTGTGGATAGAAAAACTAGCCTATGGTAACCTTTTGAAAGTTTTTCTATTTCTCTTATTATTCTTCCTGCCCTTGCTCTAGTCCTCATCTTCTCTCTTTTGGACTTATTTCAATGGTCATTGAGTATCTTTTATCCCCAATACTCTCCTCTTTCCCCATCTCTCCTCTTCACTTGTAATTATAAATTGTTTACCAAAAGAAAGGCTGATCTCTCTTTTTTAAATTTTTTAAATTACATTTCAGTGTACTAGAATTCATTGTTTATGCACCACACCCAGTGCTCCATGCAATACGTGCCCTCCGCAATACCCACCACCTGGCTCCCCCAACCTCCCACCCCCCGCCCCTTCAAAACCCTCAGATTGTTTTTCAGAGTCCATAGTTTCTCATGGTTCATCTCCCCCTCCAATTTCCCTCAACTCCCTTCTCCTTTCCATCTCCCCATGTCCTCCATGTTATTTGTTATGCTCCACAAATAGGTGAAACCATATGATAATTGACTCTCTCTGCTTGACTTATTTCACTCAGCATAATCTCTTCCAGTCCCGTCCATGTTGCTACAAAAGCTGGGTATACATCCTTTCTGATGGAGGCATAATACTCCATAGTGTACATGGACCACATCTTCCACATCCATTCATCCGTTGAAGGGCATCTTGGTTCTTTCCACAGTTTGGCGACCGTGGCCATTGCTGCTCTGAACATTGGGGCACAGATGACCCTTCTTTTCATTACATCTGTATCTTTGGGGCAAATACCCAGTAGTGCAATGGCAGGGTCATAGGGAAGCTCTATTTTTAATTTCTTGAGGAATCTCCACACTGTTCTCCAAAGTGGCTGCACCAACTTGCATTCCCAGCAGCAGTGTAAGAGGGTTCCCCTTTCTCCACATCCTCTCCAACACACATTATTTCCTGTCATGTTAATTTTGGTCATTCTAACTGGTGTAAGGTGATATCTCAATGTGGTTTTAATTTGAATCTCCCTGATGGCTAGTGATGATGAACATTTTTTCATGTGTCTGATAGCCATTTGTATGTCTTCATTGGAGAAGTGTCTGTTCATATCTTCTGCCCATTTTTTGACATGATTATCTGTTTTGTGTGTGTTGGGTTTGAGGAGTTCTTTATAGATCCTGGATATCATCAGCCTTTTGTCTGTACTGTCATTTGCAAATATCTTCTCCCATTCCGTGGGTTGCCTCTTTGTTTTGTTGACTGTTTCCTTTGCTGTGCAGAAGCTTTTGATCTTGATGAAGTCTCAAAAGTTCATTTTTGCTTTTGTTTCCTTTAAGGCTGATCTCTTTTAACTCTACTACCCTTCTGGAAAGATTTTAGTATCTAGAGCACTCCACTCACCCATTTTAAAGGTGAAGCCCAGAGAGGGGAAAGGACTTATCCAAGAACATATGCTTCTACAAATTGATGCTGAGATTAGGGTTGAGCTCAGAACCCCTGGCCCCCAGCAGAGGATAACAAAAGGAAGTGCAAAAGGGGACATATATCCTCCAGGTCTAGTGAAAGGGGGCTGAACAGTTACAGAACTTTTTAATTTCAATTTTGCATTCAGTTATCTTTTCTGAACTTTAAATGCAATACTGTTACTCTAGTAATACTATTACTCATTTCCATATAAACTCTAGGTCAGCCTGGAGAAAGGGCACAGTTAATAATAATAGTTAAAATTTATGTAACATTAACTATGTACAAAACATGGCTCCAAACACTGTACATATATTACCTTACTTAATTATCATCAGTAATTCTAAGTACCCTAAGTACTTTATTATCCCCATTTTTCAAATGAAGAAACTGAGACAAGGAAAGGCTTAGTAGCTTGGCAAGTTCACATGGCTTGAGAGTGGTAGAGTGGGATTAAAACTCAGGCTTCCAGGTTCCAGAGTCTGTGCTCCTGACTACTATACTAAGCTGGCACAAATACATTGATATTCTGCAGGCACCATTTTTTCTCATTATACTGTTGGTAGCTATTTCATATGGCTTCTTCTAACCTTGCTTTATAATTTCCATTCCTGATTATCATGAAGTGACAACTTGCAAACCATAGTCTTCTGATAAACTTTTCCCTTTTTTTCAGAGAGTCATTTTCAACATTGTTAACTTCAGTAAAACAAAGAGTCTATATAGAGATGGGATGGCCCCTATGGTGAAATCTACAAGCAGACCCAAATGGTAAGTGATCAGAATGGGACCTCCTTCTGGTTGGGAATTTGACCCAGGTCTCAACGTTTATGTGCTGAATGGCTAGGGCTTAGCCTCACTGGCACTGAGGGGAGTAAGATGAGTTTCTTGATAGCTATTGTTTGGGCTCTAGGTCTAGGGCTCTTTGAGAATGCTCTAATAAGGAACATGGTTCCTCATATGGAGTGTCCAGCACTCCATTATTAGGGAAGGTATAGTCTGTTATTTGGTAAACTTCCTGTTCTTGTTGGCCTCTTATCATGGTATCTTTGGAAACATAACTGAAATTGATTCTATGTTGTTTTTATTTTTGTTTCTTAGCTTGAGCATTGATGTTGTATAGAACATTGTATGGAACATTGTATATATTTGTTGTATAATAACAAACAAATTTTTATGTAATATATTTTATGTAAAATAACAAAGAACATGTATAGAACATTGTATAGAAAATGGGACTACAGTTTAGATTTCCCTTTCTTCGCTTGTTTTTTTTTTTTTTTTTGGTGGCATTTCTATATAGATGTTATATGCTTTGTGGATGTTAAAGTTATACTTGTTCATTGCTATAGCAAGGGTGAGGAGAGTTTGATAGGCTTATTTAAAATAGTATTAATTATGGGGGCACCTGGGTGGCTCAGTGGGTTAAAGCCTCTGCCTTTGGCTCAGGTCATGATCCCAGGGTCCTGGGATTGAACCCCATGTCAGGCTCTCTGCTCAGTGGGGAGCCTGCTTCCCTTCCTCTCTCTTTGCCTGCCTCTCAGCCTACTTGTGATCTCTGTCTGTCAAATAAATAAATAAAAATCTTTAAAAAATAAAATAAGTAAAATAAAATAGTATTAATTATGGTAGTGATGATGATGATGATGATGAAATTATGGTAGTGATGATGATGATGATGATGGTGGTGGTGGTGGTGATAACTACTCTCACTTACTGAGATCCTATTCTTTTTACATATTTTACATTTCTGGCACCATTATCACAACAGTTTTGCAAGGGAGAGCTTACATATTCCTATATTACAGATTAAAAAATGGAGGCTAAGAGATGGGAAGTATTTTCCCAACACCATAGATATTGAGAGGAGGAGACTGTGTTATTGTTATTACCCCACAGTACCATCCAAACCAATCAATTTTTCATCCATCCATTCATTTATTCTTTCAACAAACATTGATTGAATGCACCAAAATGAGAGTTTTTAAAGACAGAAACCAGTGTTATTAATCTGTCACACTGTAGGTATTAATTGAATGCTTGTTGAACTAAACTGAATTCGTTATAATAATTTACATGTAAAGTGCCTGGCACTTTCTAAGTGCTCAATAAATGTCATCTATTATTAATAGTATTATGTAAAACACTATACAAATGCAAGGGATTGTTAATATTATTCTAGCTTTGATCCCTGTTCAAATGTTAATGCCTAGTGAGATCACCTCCAAATGTCTATATTTATAGAAAACTAGCAATTCATAAATATTGAATTGTGCTTTTATCTACAAATGATACTTAGCAATTTTCTATAAATGCTGGGCTGAGAAGCTCAGGTTTGTAAAAGTGTAGGCATTGGATGATAATGAAAACTGTTTATTAAAAGATAAAAGTATCTTCCTGGTCTTGTTTTTTGTTTTTTTTTTTTTCTTGCTTTGCTGCATCAAGTCAACTATACTGCTATTCCTGGATCTCCTTTTAACGATGGGTTCTGGACAAGGGATAGGCCTTTGTTTTGAGTTTCTGAACTCAGCCCAGTGGATAATAATATAGCACATATCTGTGTTAATAGATATATGTGCAGATCTGTACTTCAAACCTTGCCAACAAAAGGCCATAACTGTTGATCTAATCATGAGGGTCCTTGGAATAACATTGTACTTCTTTTATGAGGCTCTGTGTTGGGATCTTACACAGCAACCATAATCACCATCCCTTTTTCCCAACTGTTCAATGCTTGAGTCTTCTCTTTTATTGTGCTTTTAAAATTCTTAAGCTTTAATCATTTCATTTTGTTTTGTTTTATTTCTTACAGATTATCTTTGGGGCCTCTCTGTCAGGGCTCTTAGCAAAATTTTAGAATATTAATGAGTCCTTGCATTTATATTATAATACCTGAGAATGAAGTTAGTACTCTTACCCAGTGTTGGCAGGCTCTTAGAAGCAGCCATTATCCAGTCATGGAGCTTTTCTAAAGGTCTGAAAGAGCTTAAATATTAAGAATTCAGTTTATTGTAGTTCATCAGGCTGGTAAGGTACAAGGTACCAGAGCAAATCAGTTGTTGATATGTCTCATCTCTCATCTTTTTGACTTTGCTAACCCCAGACTTTGGATGCAAAGCTATTCTCATGCCTTCATAGTCCCCCTTTTTAAAACCAGGCTGAGCTACTGTTTACTTAGTAGGACTATATTGGTCACCTTAATGTGTCACAGACTATTCTAGATATTGGGCATATAGTATGACGGAAAAGATCTGTCCTCAAAAGGAACTTTCTTTTTTAGAATTTTATTAACTAATTTATACATGCCATAATTGTTCCACTCTGGTTTGCTCATGGTTTGTTCTGAGGATTGTTTCTGCCCCTTTGGTGTTTTCTGCTTAGGACTTTCTTCTCTTTCTTGTGCCAGTTAGCTGCACCAGAACCTGTCTTCCAATAGTCATTCTAAATATTCTTAGGGCAACACAAAAATTGTACATGACTGTTTGGCTCTCAGATTATTAGATTTTATTGGCCCTGAGGAGTTGATCATAATTTAGGATTCTAGAAAACAGCCTGAGTCAAAACTGACAAAGACATTGTAGATTGAAGTATTAGAATATCTCCTCTAGTGTTTTCCTAGTTCTGGTTTTCCCCAAATCCAAGACAACCAAACAAAAGAAGTTTCTGATACTTTTCTTATCTAGGGACTTCACATCCTTTAATATTCTGAACAGGCCTTGGAAACAAACTTACCTCATGACAAATACTAAAAATTCTAAATTTCCTGGGTGAAATATGTACCAAATTAGGAAAGACACTTTCACCTCTTCAAGGTGAAATAAGACATTCTTCTTCACCTCTGTTATAGGGGCCTATAACTGATGGGCCAAGTAAGACCAAGTAAAGATGCCTTCAGGCCTTAGTGTAGGTTTGGTAATCAACTAGTTGTAGAAAGCAGATGAACAAAAGAAGCAACTAAAAAGCCGTTGAGCAAATATATGGCTGCTCAAGATTGTTCTGCCTTGAGGAGATAAGGTCATAATATCTAGCAACAAAATGGAGAAGCTGAAAATTTCAGAAACTTTCTGCCTATTTTAGTTCATTCTATTTTTATTTCCATATTGGACTTCTTAAGAAGTGTTGGTTGTTAAGGCTGAAGTTTATGCAACAGCAATTCATTAATTTTTTTTTTAAGTATTGTCCAAGGTTGAAATTGCTTTGTGATAGGCACTGCAGGGAACTGGCATTACAAGACAGCCAAAATCTATATTCTTACTCAAGCAGAAACTAAGACTAGGATATTTGTACAAGCAGTAAGTGGTGGCATTATCCAGAGACTTCAGAACTCCCAAGTTTACATTTCCTTCCATATTCTATGTGTGGGGAAGGTGGGAGAAGGAGACACAAATAAGCAAGAAGTTGCATGCTGGTGTTTGGTCTTTGGTAGATCTGAAATAACTTTTCTGATTGATTTGTCGATTTTGGTAGATTGAGGAGTTTAATCTAAATCTCAAAAGTGGCTTCCATTTAACACAATTTTATTGAGCATCTAACTTTATGGTAGGTCTTGGGGTGATAATATGAATAATCTGATCTGGATTATTTATTTAAAATTTTATTTTCAACAAGTTGAAACACAAACAGAAATAAGTACAAAATAAATTGCATTATGCTAAAAACCATTAGGGAATTACATTAAGTATGCTTTAGGATTAGAGAAAAGAAAGAAAATTATAGGATTAGGACTGTGGATTGTAAAGGAGAACCTTTGGGTGAACTTGGTACTTCAGGTAGATCTCAAGGAAATGGGACATGAACAAAATTAAGGAAATGGAATTCCAGATGGAAGATATAACATGATGAACTATGACATTTCTTTTATATGCCTCAGTTTCCTTGCTGTAAAATGTAAAATAGCTTTTTCAGTATTATAAGAAACACATGTGAAATGGATAATTTTAAAAAGTTTCAAATAACTTAAGAATTCATTAATTTCCCTGACCATTTCTTTCCTTTTTCCCTTTCTTACTCAAGACTGATTGGGTGAGCCTTTTCTTCCTCCCTCCTTTTCTTCCTTTTGTTCCTCCTTCTTTCCTCCCTCCTTCTCCCTGTCAATAAATCTTCACAAGTAGTTACAGTAGATCAGGAATTATGCAAGGTATCAGAACAAAATAGTAGGAAGAAATATGATAACTGTTATCATAAGGCTCATAGTCTACTGGGCTAGGAATCAAACATCTAAGTATAGAAAAGTGTGATAACTATGACAACAGGGAGAGTTCAGCATGCTGTGGCAACTATTCAGCATTTAAGTTTTAACCTGCCCCAAGGATAGGAGACCTTCCCTAGGTATGTTACTTATGCTGAGAACTAAAGGATGCATAGGTGAGATCATAGTAAGTAGGGATATGTGTGAAGTAATAAAATGTGTTTGAAGTCAAAGGGATGAAACAGAACATTGCATTTTTTAAAAGATTTTATTTATTTATTTGAAAGAGTGAGATCACAAGTAGGCATAGAGGCAGGCAGAGAGAAGGGGGGAAGCAGGCTTCCTGTCAAGCAGAGGGCCCGATATGGGGCTCGATCCCAGGACCCCAAGATCATGACCTGAGCCAAAGGCAAAGGCTTAACCCTCTGAGCCACCCAGGTGCCCCAGAACATTGCATTTTTAATGAGAAAAGGCCATTATGATTGGAACATGAAATTCTAAAGAGAAGGTGACTAGAGAGATAGATAGGAGTGATATTTAGAGGAGCTTTGTAAGCCAAGGTAAAGAGCTGGACTTGATTCTG